GCTTACTAAAATGGGGAAAAAAAATACTCATCCCATGAAAACAAAATAAAGCTAGCGTAGGGAGAAAACAGCATACAAGGATTAAATAGAAACAAAGCTCATGTAGATACGCCAGCCTCCAAAGTGTTTCTGAACACTTCAGCATATGAGGCCTCTAACACTCTTGTAAAACATTAGCCACAAAGACACTAGAGATTAAAAAATAGAGCTGAAGGAGTCCAGAAATAAAATGCTCCCTTTGACTGATTTGAAGGAATATCAGTTTCCCATATAAGAAAAACTAAGTCCCCAAAAACTAGAGAAACTGAAATAAAGAGGTCCAGGTTGCCACCCCTGCCAATACAAATTCAATAAGAGTAAAATAAAAAATGGACCCACTCCAGCTATAAGGTCCATTTTTTATTTATACTGTTATTGGGACAGGATGGGACAGAACATTCAGCCCCTATACAAAACTTATTTCTTCTGATTCTCAAATCCCCCCCCCCCATGTTGGTTGGTTCTGCCCCTCTTATACCTATGTTAATACCAAATCAAGGGCTTTCAATACTCTCACATTGCCCTTCAGTTTTTCATAGTATACCATAGTGGCTTCTCTAGTCCTAGCATCAATCCCCCTCAAGGTGCCACTGGCTCCAAAATCTTATTCCTCTTCAAGTTCCACCTCTCAGGCCATCTCAGGTCTCAGGTAAGGACTAGCTCAGTGGGAGGGTAGGGAAGTGGCACCTGGGGTGTCAGTAGCAAGTAAATGAAATCACTGAAACTAAAGTTATGTACTGAAAGTAACTGCCCCTTAATAAGCATATGAATAAATGTTTACTTTCATTCATAATCAAAGAAATTCCAACTTAAAACAAGATAGAGGTTCACATATCCAATTGGCAAAAAATATAAAGTCCAGTGTTGGTGAACACATAACAAACATTGCTGGTTAGTGTAAACTGTTACAATCTAATCTCAATTAGGTACCTTTTTTTTAATATTTATTTTTTAGTTGTAGTTGGACACCATTCCTTTGTTTTAGTTATTTATTTTTATGTGGTGCTGAGGATCGAACCCACGGCCTCGCACGCGGCAGTAAGCACTCTACCGCTGAGCCACAAACCGAACCCCAATTATGGTACCTTTTATAATAAAATACTCTGATCATTTTTAAATGTTGTTCTATATGTGCCTGTAGCATTAAGGAAAAAAGCAAATCAGAGTACAATGTAATAGTATAATACTGTATGTATAATTTTTAAAAATAAAAATTATGGAATTTTACACAAGTTTTGGAAGGAAAAGTAATTTTTATCTTCACTTTTCTGTACACTGTAAAGTTTAACTATACGTGTATAACTTTTAATTTAAATTATATAATTTTTTCAAGTACTCTATTTCCCCAACTTTAACCACCATTCTTTGCAACAACTGCCTCCTGCAACCAGTCCCATATCTAAAGGATAGCTGAAACTCCCTGGGAGAATTTGAGTTAGTAAGGGATATATCTTTGGACATGGGTCTTTCCTTTAAAAATCTTTGCTTACTTACCTAAAATCACACCTATGCAATGAAAGAAGAGAAAAAGAATTCCTAAACTTCTGACTAAGGAACCACAACCTCTTATAGGTCCCTAACTATTGAGATACTAGTCCTGGTTATAGCTTTTCTTCCTTATTATCATTTGTACATCTAATCTTAGTTAATTGCACTTTCTCACATAAAAAAGAATAACCTCAACTACTACTGAAGAGAAGAGAAATTGCTCCTTTTAGAACAAATTAACAGCAAAGGTCCTACTTATCTGGCCTGCTCAGCTCCCATCACTTTGTTATGGGTTGCCAATCACTACACTTCAATGTGTCAGGATGTCTTGGTCCTGTTTATTCTTTTGGGGTTGTTTGTAAAAGAAGGCTTAATACTTGTTCATTTTTACTGAATCAGTTCACAGCATTCTCTGTCAAAGAAGAGACAGGCAAGGCAGAGTGGAGTATTCATAGGCTCAAAAGATGCTTCAAAATAGTTTCCTACTTTAATCAGTCTTTCCTCCACACTCCTTAGCTGACTTTTAAGGTTTATACAACTAAAACAAGAATGTCTAATTACAGCTATTAATATCTAATTAATGGGATATGATAACTATTATAAAGATTTTTAAATATCTCAGATTAATGGCTTTAATTTTTAAGCTAAACTTTATTCATCTGAGTTTTATCATCATAATTTTCTCAAAAGGCATAATCACTCTGCCAGTACAACTATTCTCAACACAGCAAACTTATTCTTAATCCTGAACTAATTGGCAAGGAAGGTTTATAAAGCTTTTTTCAAGTATTGAAGAAAATGGTAAAAATCAGGGGTTCATAATAGAATACTATGAGAAAGAACTGACCTCTACTCTGTAAGGAGTCAAAATTGCAAATCAATTAGCAGCTTAAGTTTAAAAAATAAATACATTCTTGGAAAAAAACTACTAGTTTTATTTTTAAACTAAGTATTTTTGAAATTTTTAACATTCCCAAGCAGGAATACACAAACCAAATAAAATGCCTATTGTGAACTGAAGAGACAAGTGACTTATGTAGCAAATTCAACTTAAAATTCATATACAAGTGGGGCACAGTGATGCACACCTATATTCACAGTAACTGGGGAGGCTGAGGCAAGAGGATCCCAAGTTCAAAGCCAGCTTCAGCAAATGAGCAAGGCCCTCTGTAACTTAATAAGACCCTGTCTCAAAAAATAAAAAGGGCTAGGGATATAACTCAGTGGTTAAGTGCCCTGGGTTTAATACCCAAAAATATATAAATAAATAAAAATCACATACACACAATATCTTATGATAAAATACAGTTCAATACTAACCTATCCAGATTATTCCGGCTTACAAGTTTCACAAAGAAAAAAATGTCATGTCAATTAGTGTTACACAATGAAAGATCAAGTAGCTCTAGGAGACACAGACATCTAAGAGGTAATCTTGTAAAACACCCTAAAAGTAATGAATACTAGATAGAAATTGTTAAAAGCCTCTGTCCAAAACAGATGGTTAACCTTTAAGTTTTACTTTTTGTTTGAATGAATGAAAAGAAGAGGATAGAGAATAATGTGTTGCCTCACAAAGATTTTAAATATTATTAAATCCTGAATAAAACAATAATGACCACCAGGAGATCTAAGGGCTGTCCCCAATTTCACCACATGAATGACCGTATCCTTAAATAAATCAATCTATAATCTGAACCTAATTTCTCCTCTATAAAATAAGAACATTTGGAAATCATCTTTTTGTTTCCTAGTAGCTCTAACACTAACACAAATTTATTCTTTTCTAATGTTATACACAATATGTATCATCCAAGAGTCTGTACCAAATAAGAGTGAGCTTCCCTATTAGTTATAAGCGAACGGATTTTCAAAAAGAACTAAGGGAGCCAAAAGACAGTCCACATTTGCCAAGGGAAATAAGCAGAAAAAACACAGGCTCCCAAAATATTCCCTTCCTCATAAAGTAGTCTTGCAACTGCTTTACCAGAGAAAGCCTTGTGTAATACAGGGTATCACTTTATTTTAGGCTTAACAAATTATTGATAAAGTTTAGTCCTCAAAATGTTACAATTTGTAACAATTTTAAGATTAAAAATTAAAACAACATTTATCCAACAGCAGCTCAGTAGAACCTTGGACCAAATAACCTTAGTACAAACCAACTCAACACAAGAATCACAATATTCACATATCTCCTCTAATTCTTAGGGAAAACTGGGACCAGGGCTCCTAACTAGAGAGAAATAAAAATAACAAGAGTTAATAAAAGCCACTGTAAAAGCCAAGTTAATACCAAGAGAATCAATTTCAACCAAACCCTACCATCTCAACTAAAATATACCTAAGTAAAACACAGCTAAGAAATAGTCGAAAATTTTCAACCATGAGAAAAAGTCCCTGCTTTAATAAAAAAGTGCACTATATGTGTGTGTGTATATATACATATATATTTGTAAATTTACAGTATGTACAAATTTTACTTTAAAGAAATAATGTTCTTAGAATATATATATGTATTTGTGTGTATATGTGTATTTATATATATTATATATATATATTTTTTTTTAAGTTGTAGATGGACACAATATCTTTATTTTGTTTTTCATTTTTATGTGGTGCCAGGGAATGAACCCAGTGCCTGATGCATGCTAGGCAAGTGCTCTACCAATGAGCCACAACCCCAGCCCCTAGGACATGGTTTTTTATAGTTAAAGTTTTAAGTATGTATCTTAACTTTCACCTACGAATTCACCACTATAAAGTTTAATTAGGTTTTCTGTTTTCACCATGAGATGCAAGACTAATTGTTCCACAAATTGAAGTGCACACACAGTACTCATTTTATTGTCCCTAAAAATACTAACATCTGTGACATATGGATTGCATAGAAAAGAAGCTCCTTCGAGGTCTATGTTTGTGTTTTTAACTTTTCTATTTGACTAGTACTTGAGTTTAATATAGTAAATGTTTCTTGGAACTTAGTGTTAACTGAGAACAGTGATTATATTGCCATTCAGGATTTAAATGATTATGATTTATTTACAGCTCACCTCCTATATATAAACCAAGGTATGTTTTAAAAGGTTATTAGGAAGACATACAAGATTCCTCAACTCTCTCAAGTCCGCAGCCAAACTACAAAATCAAAGGCTGTATCCAAAGCTCCCCAAACTATTTAATACACATGGATAGGGTCATTCGGGACACCACTGCCCATCCATCACTTCGAGATACAAGTGTGAGAGAAGGGTTCTTAGAAAATAAGAATTAACCCTTTCCTAGTAAGAATGGTTAAGGCGAGTGTGGAGTGGGTGGGTAAATGGTCTTTCAAACCCTTCCCGAGCTCACACCATCCGCGGGAAGGAACGCTGTAGCGTGCAGTACTGAAGAAGAGGTGCCTCGTTACAGGGTTCAGATTCACCCCCTCAAATTACAGTCGGGCTGCTCAGAGCCAGCTTTAACGTACGTACCCAAAACCCACAGTAACAGCACAAACAGGCTCCTCTCCGGACCCAAAACTTTCAGTGTCAATGAAATAACGGTGCAGAAAGGCGAACTATCCACGATCTCACGGCCGTTCGATCCTAACTCAAAGCGAGAATCCAGTTGTCGCCTGGGAGGAGTCACTTCACGCCGGAGCTGGGCTCTTCCTCAACTAGGTCCTCGGATTCCCCCAGCAGCAACCGAGAGGCGCGGTTAGCGCGCTTTATCTCCCGCGACTGGCAAGTAACCGTGTAAAAATGTCACTCTATCCGCCCGCGTCC